TTTGTGATTGACATATGGTACAACGACGACTAAGGATTTCCTAGTAGTCACGTTACTAATGGAACATTCGTGGTTCTTTTTTTAAATCAATTTACTGAATATATACTGATTAACAAGTTACAGAAATGTAAATCATTTTTATGGCAAGAAAAAAATTGAAAATTCTCTTCTTCCACTGTTTTTTAAAATATATAATTGTCATTAAAGAAACAAAAGAAAATTAGATGTACATAATCTATTGTTAAACACATAAAGTTATTCAAGTAAAAATAATAAAAACAGTAAAAAATAACACGAGAATCATTCCTGATGTTCCTCATCCGTTTGTTTTGCAATAATTAAACTATTCGTCTAATTAACATAACACAGCAATTGATCATTTGATGTTGAATTAAAATGGTTGCAAGAGAACTGATTGTTTATTGATAAAACAAAATATGATAACATATCGAGAATCGAAATCATGAAGCACACGCAATTATATTTTATTATTAATTCTTTCTTCTTTATTGATCAAATTTTCAATCGTATAATCATATTATTAAGAAATATAATCAAATTATCAAGAAATAATCAGTTTCTTCTACTATTTAATATTGAGTTGACGACTCCATACAACTTGCTTTGTCAATTAAAATAGCGGATGGAGAGCCATCCGATGCTGTTCGGTAAGCTAGTCGGAACAATCGATCCACGCTTCAGCCTGATAATCTCATATGGAAATTCCTGCGCAACGTAACTCAGCTCGGCTGGACGCGCTATTGATAGATGGACACGCTGCAGTTATTTATGGTTGCTATATCTTTATTATTGTCTTTATACTACAAAGCTACCTCGCGGCTAATGATTGCCCTGCGGTTCACGTGGCAGCTGGTATCCCTATAGGTGTGGTCATTAATAAAACCGTCGGCTGTAACGACGATCTTACGCGTAGTTCACGACAACGGAAACAAAGGGCTCGCCTTCTGTCAGGCGGAACCGCTGACAGAAACAGAGCGGCGACGATCATCGGCGGCGCTAGGAAAAGAGCGTGCTCTCGCGCGGTAAAAGATACCTGCCTCGCGCGCCCATCACGCGGAATCGTATATTCTTTTCCTGGAATTGGTTCTTCACGAAGGGACGAGCGGACGCAATTCGCCGACATTATCGTCTACATTGTGGTGATTGAAGACGCTAGTTCAAGATGAGTGTAAAAGGTATATTTCTCAGGGTAACCTGAGTCGATCGCGAGCGGCGTGGACGATAATGACAGAGAATAACACATCTTGCCATATCCCGTTCATCATTTAGAGAGCGATTTGTAATTTTTTTCTTAACTTTAAGCGTGCCACGATAATGACTGGACTAATAAAAATAATTTAAGTTTGACTATTACACAAAGATATATTAAGCGATAATAAAACAATATTTAAAAAAAATTTATACACGTACATTGAATACTATTTCCATATTTGTATAACAATGAAACGTGCCGTATTTTCTACTCTTGATAAATGACCACATTTTACACCTATTTTAATTCAATGCTGGATGATCAATCGCTGTGTTACGTTAATTGGTCGAGCGGTTTAATTATTGCAAAACTATCGGACGATCAGCACTGGGAGTAATTAAATAAGACGAGCATTGCGTTAATGGAAGGAGAACAACATCGTTAACACCAGTGCTACCAGTAGCTGGTAAATTGTGGTACATTATTCGAGATATGAAGGCCATCGATATGGACAATAATTGGCGTAAAAAATGAGGCTCTCGTAATTTATGATGTTCTACGTAAGGCGAGGCCCACCAGGCGAGAACTCAGGTGATCAACTGATCGTTGATAAAAATGTTGATTTGTGTCGAGCGCGAGTATGCCGTAACTTTCATTTGAAAGCTGATTTTAATGCAGCGTGTTAATTACACGCTCACTCTTTGCTGCACATTATTCTATCAAACAGCCTTAATGAGCTTATTAACTCGACACACTTGGCAAAACAGTCAGTTAAAGTTCATTATTTCTCAAGCGCCTTGAATTTTTAAAATAATGTATAGCTCTTAAATCATCGCTCGACGCGCATTGCTGGTGATCTTTTAATAGAAAACACTGAGAAAATATATCTACTGTGATATTTCACACAAGAAATTATTCTTTAGATAACATATTTTAGCGTATATTAAATGAGAGTATTTTTTATCGAAATGTCATCAGAGTCGTTATTATTAATCAAATTAATTTAATAATGAATGTAAGCAACTTTTATATTTCTTCATACGCTTTTCTAGTAGCAACTAAATATGTTTACATTCATTATTCATTGATAAATCGTTGACAAAATTGTTCTACGCATATGCAGAGTTTTATTAAAGTGAATTTTTTCAGATCGATCGAATGCTTAAGAAATTGTTACGAATGTTGCCATTGATTTATTAGAGCATTATGCATCTTGCACCATCGCAATGGTCAAGCGTGTTTCTTTCAGGCGTGAACGGTAAAAGTCGAGTGTCTCCGCCAATTACCGCGCGAAACACCTAACTTATCGCGTGCAACCTCCGCGTCGTGAGGCGGATTTTCGTTACGAGCTTTAATTGCAACCGTTTTAACGACTCCTTATACGTCTCGCGTGCTTCTAATGCCCAGCCTCGCTGAGCCGCTTTCATGTCAGGACCGAATAACGCCTCGACGAAGGAGCATCCCATACGTTTAGACGTTAAAGAGTTAATGGCCGTAATTTTGTTCCGTTGATTAACAGACGAGTATCGTCATCGCCGTTTCCACATGATAATCCGCGAGTAAAAAGCACTGCTCGAAGAACAAAAAATCTACGATTTCGATTTAGTTTAATCTATGATAAATCGCATGGCACTTATATGGGAAAGAATGGAATCACTATAATTTTTAAAAAATCGCAAATACTAAAAAATCTCGTTTGTTTCAAGTCGTCGGAGCACTAATAGCTTCCGAGTTATATGCGTAAATTCCTCAAGTAGATAGCGCACACATCCTTATAAAGTATTTCGCAGATATCTTCTAACTTTTGAGCACTCAAGTATGATATAGGCTAAAATTTACGATACAGAACTGATTGCAGAAACTACGTTACGCGGTAGCTGTCTCGTAAAGTCAGATAAAGTGCAAACAAAAGACTCGACCGGGCCCGTCTCTTGCTTTCTAATCGTCTCCGTGGCGTCAGCAAGTGTCAGATTAAGCGATCTAGGAATAAGTTACGCCGGAGTAGATATAAAAGTGAAAAAAATTAGATATACGACGTACATAGTTAACATATAGAATGAGAGAGAGAAAAAGGATGTTAGAGGAGAACCAAAGAGAAGAACAGCATCTGCCGTGAGGTGGGTAATACATTTGTTCGTTAACCGTCGCGAAGCCGTCGGGGCTGGAAAAAAAAGAAAGCTACAAGAGGGTGCTGGCTGATGGTGTTCGTGTAAATTTTTGTATGAAGCGATTCCGACGCGCGACGATAAAATCCACATCGCGCTGGAACGAAAGGAGAAGGGTTAAGAGAGAAAGGAAGGGAGAGCCGATCTCTCGCCGGCTTGAAGAAACGAATTAGCCGGCTTCAGCACGGATCGGGTCGACAACACTGCCGCAGTGGGGAGGAACAAAAGTATGGAGTAGAGGGTAAAACATAGTAGAAGGGGTGGCAGGGTAGGCGTGGTTGCAGGGGAGGGACAAGAACGTGGGCAAGACCTAAAAACCGGATGTGCAGTGGGGAGAACTCAAATGGGGCGGAGAGAACTTGAGTATTCTCGTTATTGTTGCAGTGGCGCGGATATCCGTATATTCCGAATGCGTACAATATCAAATGGATCGTAAATTTTTGTAAACAAAATTGTAAAATATTTAACAAAACAAGTTTTTTTTAAATTTCTCAAAAACGTTTACATCAATTTATAAATAATTTTATTCTCAATTAAAACATTCTGATATCTTTATCTTTGATATGCAGATCAGACTTATAGATTTTCTTATTGATGTATTTTTGATTTGATTTAATATTTAATTAATATTGTATAATTTCGGAGAATAAAATTGAAATTATTTTTTTGTACTTGTCAGATTGTTACTATTAATATTAGAAATCTTTTCCTTCGTTAGATATTTTTGTTGCAATGTGCAGTCAAGTTGCATCACACAGTCATCGTATCGAACGGTCCAAACAATTGTTTCGTGTGTTTCTATTGCAATTTGCATAAATAGCGAATAAGATCTTTGAGTCGTGTCGATAAATGAAGTTCAATTTCTCGCTTATTAATCGAGCGATTCCAGCAAAGAAATAAAATTGAAGGGAGACGAATCTCATCGAGCAGAGACTCTGGCGTCCGTAACATTGATCCGCAGAAAATTCGTGAGCATAGCCCCCTACTATCCGTACCACTGACGGTGGGGATGACGACAAGCGGAAGGGAGCACGGTACACCTTACGCTGGTGGGCGGAGCCTTTGACCGAAGAGTTAATAGAGATACAATCGAGGGTGTCTAGTGCACTGTACTCCGGACCGCGGCGTAGGAGGAGTGAAGGGGCCAGGGGTGAGGAGGGACAGGCGGTAAGTAGGGACCCCGGGTCCCCTAGTTTAGACATCACTGAGCGACGGATGGACAGCCAGTCAGACCCGTCACAGCACTCGCCGGAGTACTCGGAAACCTCGGGAAAAGCCGATAGAGCGGCGATCTCCGGTTTGGACCGGCTCCAAAGGCGTGCTGATAATTAACACGCGACTACCACAGCGGATGCACGAGTATTTCTAAGAGCTTCGACGTAACTGTTTCTTTTTTTCCCAACACGTGACGGACACGTGCGATGGATTCGACGATTTTGAGAAACTAATGGAGCAGTGGACGACAAAGATCCGTGCGATCACGAAGTGATTCGTTAACAGTCTGCGAGAGATGTAAGCGCACGGAGATGTATTTGTGACACGTGAATAGTGTTTACGAGTAGACGTTTCGAGAACAGCGACTGCAGAGATTCGCATCCACTACGCGTTGACGGATCTTTAATCCACGCGGATCGTTGACTGCAGTGGATAGTGTAACAATGTGTTATCTTCACAGTATTATCATCACATGTGACCGTTATCACTGTTGACTTTCTGATTTTATCTCATCGAACAAAGACATTTTTACACTGAAAAAATGATCGCTTACGCGACCATAAATCCCGTGTATAATTTGCAATTGAGAGCCAATCATCATCGTCATCTTCATCATCGCGTGTTGTCGCCGGAAAGACACGCAGTATCGCATCAAAATCGTCAGCCGAGTCGTCCGCAAGACACTCAGATGTCGTTGCGTTTCAGTGTCACGAATATCCTCAAGCCGGATTTCGGTCGGGAGGCGATCCTAACGAAAATAGTGTCGAAACAACCTGTGCTGTCCAGCCCCGTCATCACTACTAGTCCCGTGCAACTTTTGCAAGACAGTTCGTCGCCGCGCGATCTCAGCTTGTCGTCCGCACGGCTGTCGTCGCAATCGCCACCGTCCACGAGTTATGCAGTCCACAGAGAAAGGGACACTTTCTCTCAATCGGGGCGCACATCGCCTGTGCGACTCAGCAGGAGCGGCAGTCTTGAAAGTCTCGCATCCAGCAAAAGCTCGGTCACCAACACCTCGGTTACCAGTACACCTTCTTTGAGTTCAACCTCGTCAACAATCGGTGTCGATTCTCTAAATGGGGACAGTACGCCCAGCAGTAACACAAACACGTCGACGAGCCAAAAAAACAATACTAACGGCCAGAGCTTGTGGCCCGCATGGGTTTACTGCACCAGATATTCGGACAGGCCCTCTTCCGGTAAATGTAACAGATATTTTTTTGTATCCTTTTTATATATCGAAAAATTACATCAGAATAATATGTAATTATTATACATAGATAATAAATCGAACTTCTGTAATAATTTTAATAATGTTAAAGAAATTATATTGTTCGATTTTACTTTTTTAAATTCAAATGTAACGCGTTGCTTCGTGTAAGTATCGGTTTCGTGCTTTCTATTACACTGGCACGTCTAACAATGCACGTTAAAAAGCAAACAAGTTAGAAATTCATCAGATTTTTCGTGCGCACAGTACGTGACTTGCATTTAGCTTTGCACATGCAAGAAGAACTTGCGTGGTCGCGATGTCGGAAATGTCTATCAAGATGTTTTGTTCATTTATGCGCTCTACATGGTCACAAAATCATGATCTACCGCTAATTAAAATCCCCCTCGAAGCGTTTGAAAAATTATGCAGCATGAAGATAAGTAAAAGCTTTTCGCGAGCAAAATGTGCGACTCGCGTCCGGGTTTTGTATCTGGAAGTCACGGATTGAGAAAAGGCCGCCCCGCGTCTTTGCACGATCCGGGAGCTTGAATTAATCGCCCTTTTTTACATACATAATCGCAATCCTTCCGAACGAATAATGCTTTCTCAGTTCAGCGACTCTATTTGTTCCAACAAACAAGAAGAAATCATATCGAAGTATAATGCAATTAAATTCGTCGTGTCTATACGAAGAATCGTGCAATTACACTCCTCGTGTTCGATAAACTTATCCAAATAATTAATCACTCGCGAATCTCGCATAGATAAATAGTGATTACTGCGACTCCTCGCCGACAAATAGCAGTAATCTGTGCCTCATTATGCGTTCTCATTAGATAACCGTTCGCTCTACAAATAAATTATATGACGGCCGACATATATGCTTAATGTTCTATCCCATCGTTCGATATTACCGTAATAAGTTATTACCCTCGCGCAGGAGATCGTTGAATGTCGACGTACGAAAGGATCACGAGCTGCATAAGCTATATCTAATTGCGAATAGCTACGGCGAGGTTAATGCACGGTCCGATACCACCTGCGCCCGTTCGCAGAACTTAATTGTGTGGAACCTACATTCGCGAACTACCCTCTGCAATCAGTGTCCCACATACGGCGCTGTCGCTCTTTGTCGCTTTCTTTATTGCTCCTTCTGTTTCGGTTCTTTTATCTCTCTCGCCGGTAAACACCTACCGGTTTTCCTAGGCTGCTGCGCGTCGGGGTGGTCCGCGTGTTTCGATCCGATAATCGCGTTGCTAATTGCCGAGAATCGCCCACTTAACTCTCGCGAGCCTCTTCATTGCCGAACATTAACCCCGAGCCTGAATTCGTACAAAATTTGCTCTCCTGTGATATATTTCTCTCATACATAATAAATAAAAAATAAATTAGAAGTGAAATTTTTTTACAGATTAATTTATACGTTTCTTTTGTAAATTTTTATATTATCGAAGCTTTTTAAGCGAGAAATTTCTTTAAAAAAATTTGTAGTTTAATAGCGTAACAATATGAATAACAAGTAGATAAAGAATTTAAAAAAATTAATAAATGAGAAATTAGTATGATCATTCAATAATGGAGTACTATTCATCATTTATAATTGAAGCTCACGAGACGTTGTGGTAAGAAGATCACGACTTGCAATTTCTTGTGGTGCTAAAATTAATGTTTAGTGTTTTTAAAGCGGTAATAACGTTGGTAGTAACATTAATGATCAGTGCACGAAACGATCGGCACGTCTTTCTTAAATTACAAAGAGCCGGAATACTTGACTTCCTCCGATAATAATGAAAATACCTATTCGCATTTTATGTAATATCGATAATAATTATAGAGTTGTGAGGATATATTTTAACCTACAAACAGCTAAAACGATCGTTTAACGGTTTCTTCGAAGGTAATAATAACATCGAGACGATAACTATAATGCGCAAAAGCACGCAGATGTATTCCGACTCTACACGGTCGCGTTATCTATGTAGTTAAATAAAAATCAAAAGCGTGTAATGCTAATATCCCGAGCTCGCCGATTAACGTTACTTTCGATGAGGCGCAATACAAGGTGATCGGAGTGGTCGTTATCGCGCTTAAAAGCGTGCTTCGCAAAGTTCCGATCGTTAATGTGAAAATAAGAAAACACAACGCGGCGCTTGATTTTTCAGTAATGAAATCCGGCACATTTACTTGCAGAATGTAACTGTATCATGCTGTACAACGTTAAGAGTATAAATTATAGCATCGAAGAATGCGCGAGTCGTGTAAAATTGCAGTTCGCAATATAAGGTCGAATTTTAAGTAACAGCGTGCCTCTGCAGTTAGTCGAACCATTTCCGCCTTCATTAAATTCCAACGCAATTGCTCAGATATAGTTATCCTCCAAGTATCCTTTCTACCATGCGAGAGAGTGCTAGCGAGTAAGAGCGCTGAATCATGTTGGTGGACAAATTGATGAGAACGCCCACTTTCCCCACGATAATGCCCCCTTGCCTCGCCCGTTCCAAACTTCAGTCACAAAAGTCGGCGCGCGAAGATTAATGCGAAGTTTCTTTGTCGTTTAAGGACCGCGCACAAGACGGGTGAAACGTTCGCAGAACGCAAAGAGCAGCTCGCCGGAAGAGAAGAGACCCAGGACGGCCTTCAGCGCCGAACAACTGACCAGGCTGAAGCGGGAATTCACGGAGAATCGATATCTGACGGAGAGGAGGAGGCAGCAGCTCTCGCGGGATCTGGGCCTGAATGAGGCGCAGATCAAGATCTGGTTCCAGAACAAGCGGGCGAAAATAAAGAAGGCGAGCGGACAGAAAAATCCGTTGGCTCTTCAGCTAATGGCACAAGGTCTTTACAATCATTCCACCGTGCCGGTGGACGAGGACGGGGAGGAGATCGTGAAGGAATCATTGAGATTCGCATAAATTCCGATGAAGGTGATAAAACGATGAATTAGAGACTGGAATGATATGGTGCCATGTCAGTGTTGAACACTGTCGACGCGGGTAAAGTTACTGGTTCTACCTATTTACTTTACTTACTTACTTTATCACGGAACAAATAATATAACAATTTAACAAAGACTGAAAATGACACGGGGATAAACTCATGTTTGACAATATTGAGAGTGCAATATTTTTGATTGAAAACACTAAGGTCGTATGAAAACTTAAGGCTGTATTATTTTGTCGAAATTAATAAAGAAATTTTTATCTTTTACTTTTATTTTTAGATAAGAAAATAATCTTTATTTATATGGATAAGAGATTTTACGTGAGGTAATTTATATTCGTAGAAAATTATTTAGATTCAACACTATTGTGTTTAAATTAAATAAGTATTTGCAGAGTAAAAAAGTACTCTGCGTAAAAAATATGCTAAATTTATATTAGAAGAACGGAAAGTCTCAAAGCAAATAAAACTACTTGATATATTTGATTATTATGGAAAACTGTTTTTAGTTACTGCCACTTTATCGTCAATGCTGTGAAAATGGCAAGCAGCATTTGTATGTGAAACTATAATTCTTAAACATTTTTCAAGTCGAAGAGTTATCTCGATCGAAGAGAATTGTATTCGTAGAATACGAGAATTTAAAATAGAACATGCACGCATCTAGACCTTGTACCGTCGACTGAGACTTACATTCATCGATTACATTTAAAGTAGCATTTGATTAGTATCTAAGATCCGTACGAGTCTATCCTCGTATCAGTATTTAAGCATAAGTTATTTATTTCATTGTACATACTGTGTAAATATAGCAGCAATTTATGCTCTTGTGTATATGTAATATACAAAGTAGATTAGATGACAAAGTTATTATACGTGAACATGAAACGATCTCACATTGTATAGTTCTCATACATATAATGTAGAGACATGTATACAAGTGTAGTTGGCCATGGAAAGTACGTATAACGTATATTGTTTTCCGCAACAAGCGATCGTAATATTCTATGTATAATCAGCTTATATTTCATCGCCGATTAAAACAAAGTAAAAGTAAACTTTTATCCTCTACATGCATTCTCTTCCTTTTTATTTCCCACCGAAATACTTACGATTACTATTTAATGATATAATAATTTTATCTCAGTAAAATTAAATTACATAAACTCGACACGATTTTTCAGCAAGAAGCATGAGAAATGTTTCAATCAGTAATATGTAAAAGTTCGTAGCTGTGTAAATATTGAAAGTAATGCAATGCCAATAAGACATAAAAATAAAATTAATCAAAAAAGTGGAACATGATCATTCTAAAGAAATGCATTCCCGCAACATTACACTCAAGTGAAAGTAATAGAGATAAATGCAATAACGATGTAATAGCTATTAATTAATTAAACGTTCATCAATTATATCGCTGGGAAACGCTTAGAATGCTATCGCGGCGTTGTGGCATTTGAGTATTCAACTAAAATTACTCGTGCATTAATTAGCATCGTTGCCATACCAGCACTCCTACGCGACAAAGTCGCGCGTTTTTGACAGGCATTCTATTTTACCGGGAAAACTCTCAAAGTTCTCGTTTTCAGCGGCATGTCACGACGCACTAATTGATCCCGAACTAACGAGCCGCCCGGTATCTCGAGCACGATAGGTGAACGTAACGCCGATATACTCAAGTGAAAGTTTGGCCAATCTGATATGTGATCCCTTTGAGATTAATTTTATTTTTCTTTAAGCAGGTTGGAACTCATTAACATTCTATATAAATTGATAATTAAAAATCACAGTCTCTCCTGCCTGTATTTATCCGTTACACAATTATTTGTTAACCCATTATTTTAATTGTATGTTTTTTAGTTAGTAAAAATAACGTTTACATTTAAGTTTCACTTGATAAATTGTGATTTAGGTGTCTCTAATAGAACACGATCGGAGATGACAGTACGCTACTAATTCCAGCGTGTTCATACGTGGACTACGGTGCGGCGATCGACGCGAGATAAACGATATAGGTGCGCACCTGTTAGGCGATACGGCGCGCACACGTATGCATTCATGGTGTCTCACCCGTGCGCGATTGGATTTACGAGCATTTTTTCCGGCATCGCGTATCGCAAAGCTATTGGCAATTGCGTGACGGAAAAGACCTTTCCGGATTACGGTCATCAAAAATGCGAAAAGATATCGCACATGTGCGTGTCGCTTAATTCTGATATATTAAGAATAAAATGCAAAAATGTGGTAAAACATGTATGAAACATGCAGTCAACGAGAATCATGATCGCGATAGGATATTTAAAAAAAGAGATGTAACAAAATTGCTCATAGTAATTTGAAAAAACTTCAAAATAAAAAAAAAATTTTTAATTTTTTCTCTTAACAATTCTTGATTAGGTAATATGACAATCAATTCAATTATAAAAGGACGCCATAAATCATGTTGCAAATTTTTACTTCAACGAGTAATCTTGTTATTGCGTTTGATTAATCTTAATGACTTCAACATCGATTACTTACTTGACGCGTAATTGCTATTTCTTAACGATTCGTCGATTAATTACAATAAATGAAAAATATACATGTAGTATATGTCTCACAAAGTTGTAGGAGTTATAAATTCGCGTTGTTTAAGTTTTAAATATACAATCGTCTTTATGTTAAGGACCGGCATTGTCTGTACGTAACTCATTATTAATCACCATAAATTTGAATACGGAAGAAGCGATAACAGATACTAATGGCTATAACTGTCATTAGAGATTCATGCGAGTGAATGGTGGAATAATTCATTGATATTCTGATAATGGTCCGTATGTATAATAGCGATGCGACAATTGGTAATTACATTAATATACGCAAAGATTTATCACGATGACAGATGCATTATGTAATTCCACACGCACTTATTTACGTAATAATTCTTTGCGTGTTATATTAAACATTTGTATCATTTCCCAAACAAGGCAATACTTATAAATTTTCTACACTGCATATGCTTTTTTTACATAATTCGCTGATAATTGCCCGATCTATATTTCACGACCAAGCAAGGATGTCCGGCGCGCCACCGACATTATTACTTATCATTAATTTAAACGTGGCAAACACTGGGGTGAGGTCGCGGAACGCGCGCGGAAGGGCAACGACGACCTCCGCCGTCGTTGGAAACAAACGCACGGATGGTGGCCCAAACCGGGGATAAATTACAGAGTCGTTGTCCTGGCCATTGTATTTAACTGCGGCGATGCGTAATTGCTGGAACGCCGTTGCATACGCGGGCGGGAGAAGGAAGGTCGCGTGAGAGGACCGATAGGAAGTGAGACAGAGGGACGGAAAGGAGGGCGGCAGGGCGGAGAACGAGTTAGAACGTAGGAAGGGACACGGGTGTGAGGGACTATGCTTGTCGAGAGGACTTGGGGAGCGGGGCCGACCGGGGGTTGCCACTGTGGTCGAGAACCATAGTCATCGGAATGGCCATTAGAGGTCTGTACGTTCCCACCAGTGGCTCACTAAATTTCGCCTTCTTATGCCCCCGCGGACCACCTTGCGATCCACGTGAATTAATGGCTGCGGTGCCTCGCGTTCACCGTTTATTACAATATCAGCCGCTGCGGCAGAGTCGAGTTTCGCGTGAATTCGCGCCGCGCGACGAACTAGTTTTCAGTACCGGTCGAAACGTACCGTCGTTAATTGCACAGTCAGAAATATATGCGTGGAGTTTACGATCCCGATGGATCGTTAGTTTCTCGACCGCCGCAGTAGACTTCAATATGCGAATATTTTACGAATCAGCGGAATACGCGACTTATTTATTTATTGAAGCTAAAGTAACATTACACGGTAAACGTATTGCAATTAATGTAATGTAATATTTCGATGCAATGAGTCGAATGTGAAACTGATCAAAGTTTAACCAATATTGTGCGATTTAGAAGTTTTTTCGCAACTTTTGAGAAAATTGCACAGTTAAACATTTATTAAAATCAGTATGTAAATCGATACTAATTATATCAACTGCAAGCAACGTCAATAATTTTCTCGTGCGTTCGGCGGAAGACGTTGATTCTCACGACGCACGGCTGAGAATGATTGTTCCCTCTTCAAAGCCTTTTCTTGGTATCCGAAAAAAGACCGTCGCTCACAGATCAGCCGCGCTTTTCTCTGCCGCGTTTTCGTCCCCCCTCGTTTCATCGTTAACGAATGTAACAAGGTTCCGGCCCGTCAAATTAAAGGCGGATGGCGCGGCGCAAGCAGTGAACCGAAATTTATTATCGCGCTTTCGGGAACCAAAGTCGTGTAAAGGCCACTTAGCTGTCCGTAAATGCGTCGTCCTTATGACGACGCGCGGCCAGATGGTCCGCCAATAGATCACCTCGCGCGGCCCGCGACCCTTAAAGAACCGCGCTCGAGATACAGCAAGAAATTCGAGACTATTCGCTTACCGCGCGATAAAACGCGCTTTGTGGTCGCGAAAGATATCCCGTTCAATAAATCGCGGCGAATTCACACGTGATATTAACTCTTGCGGTTTCGACAACATGTGGATTGCGCTCTTTAATCGACGAACTGACGTATGTAAAAGTAATCCGCTGCTTCTATTTTTCATTAAATTATTCTTTACAATAAAATTGTCACGTTTGTAAAATTTCAGAAACAAAAATTTTTAGCTTATATAGTTTAGATAAAATTAATTTCGTATCTAATTTTATTGGACATATATTTTTACGTGTACACGCCATTTTCTGGACACAGTTGTGACAAATTTCCATCACCGCGACTTTGAATACACTGAATGTTGTTGACTGAAAGACTGTAAGACTGAAAATACAAATTTGACGAAAGGCTGAAGTTGTTTTGCCACCAATTTTCATAATCAACTTAAATCGTCCGGAACAAAACGACAACAGATGTCCGCGTCGGGCGTAACGACTCGAGCTATCAGAAAATGTCAAAAATAGAAAAATCCGAGCAAAATATAAATTCCGGCTAATAAACGCCACTTTGATCCCGCCCTCGAATCGCAGCCGTGGATGCGCCGAAAGATGCGTGCCTCGGCCCGTAACCGCGTAATTGGCTAGGCCGTGAACGCGACATTAGATCCTCGTTATCCTAACGAGCTGAAATAGCGAGCGCGACCCGGCAGAGGAAAGCTCCGACGAAAATCCCGCGTGGAATGACTCGAGACAGCGCCTGAAGCATGCGACACGTGGTTGCTCTAT